TTTCTTGCTGGGTATACATGGTGACTTTTTGAGCATCTTGAATGGCCCTGAATTTTTTTTTTCTCACGAGCTTCGCTTTGCATAACGGCCTTCTCTTGTTTACAGTATAGTCCTGACTGTTTCTGCACATTATGAGCATTACTTTTTAAAGATTTCAAAGGTGGTAGTTATGTTAATGGAACCAAATCGGTATTTCAACAAGCCAAGGTCATTTTGGAACAAGGTGCACGTGCGAGTTGGTATATAGCCACGCTGTTGGGACGGATTGTCGCGCACGTGCGTAGCTGTTACCAACTAACCCCGTACTGAGCAGTCGCAGTTGAAATACCCAACGGGTTTATTTGTATGACTTTTTTGTCATTGGGAATTTCATATCAGCTCAATGATCATTGTATTAATTTTTGTATGAAACGTTTGGTGGCAGAAAGATCAACATCCTCTCGGTTTTATGTTGCTTTTCTTTTGGTACACCAGAGATCTTATATTCCCGTTACTCATCTATCAAAGTCCTTTCTCCAAGAGACATTATGTGGTGATTGTTTGAATTTTTGCTGGCTTAGGATAAAAGACATCGGTGAAAAGATATGTTGGATAAGAAGTTTACAGGTGTTTAAAGATTTTCCCTTGGCGTTTTTTCCCCTTTCGTCAGTGACAAGTATAATTCTCTATTTAAAGAAGGGGACCAATCACATGTCATACTAGTGTTTCTGATTATTTTCGATTTGTAAATGCTGCGTATAATTCCCTAGTGAAACGTGATGGTGTGCCATATAGCCAGTTACCAGAGGTCACTGAAAATTGCGTAACGAGACTCCCAGATTTATATACCGACAAGGAAGATAAACTGCATTTTAATTTGTCTCACCTTTGCTTCTAAAGCATTATCGCTAGAGAGCCACAAGCCCAAATCACAGCCCACAAAGCGCAGTTACTAAACGGCACGTTTTTTTGGTTTTTTTTTAAGGCCTCCAACACTAATGGAAGTTCATTGTTGGTTTCCATCAAAACGGGAAAGTATTGAAGTTTCATTTGACCAGTTTAAATGGCTTCAGTAGGTGTGTAAGTAGATTCATGGAACGTAATTTTGCAATGCTACTTTTGTGTGGTTCTATGTGCATACTACTTTTAAATTTTAAATTTAAATTTGATTAGTTTAAATAAACACAAAATTGCCAATATAAGTTGAACATTTTGTTTGGTTGATGTCTGCACTCTGAAAATTTCTGTTCATGATGTAACTACTTATGCGTGCATACGTAAATTAATTCCAGTGGTGTGGAAAAGCAATTGTTATTATAAATGTGCGAGTGTAACGACCGCCAGTTTTATGCGATATGTACTTCGTTGAATTTCAAGAAATCACAACGTAGGATAAGCTAGTTTAACTGCCAGTTGCAAACGTTGATTTGACTTCAACTTCAAGGAGAGCAGTGTTCTTGAGTTCAAGGAGAGCGCCATCAATTGTTCATATAATATGAACACCAGAAGTAAGAGGGCATGCGC